CTGCTCAAGTGGGAGTCCCTATACCATTCTGGGCAAAAGGATGTCCAATCTCTTGTTGAAAACCTCCAGTGATGGAGCACCAACAACTTCCGGATGGAAGCCATTCCTCTAGTTCAGTGGTTCCCAAACTTGGCAACTTTAAGACTTGTGGACTTCAACTCCCAGAATTCTCCAGCCTGGCTGGAGAATTCTGGGAGTTGAAGTCCACAAGTCTTAAAGTTGCCAAGTTTGGGAACCACTGCACTAACACGTCACCTCCCATCCCAAGGGGTGTGTCCCAATTTTGGGGTGTGTGTGTGTGGGGGACAATCCCAAACTATATTTAAGAACCGAACGACATCTTTATGGAGAAGTGTCCTAGATGCCCAACTGTCCTTGGGGCAAGGAGCAAGACTACCAAGGGCTTCAACCTCCTTCTCAGGAACTCTCCCTGGTGCTGAATTCAGGCTGAGGCTCAGTGGGTCACAGAGGAAAGTTTTATTGACCCCAATCGAGTGGCAAAATGTCACACCCTTTCCAAATTCACTTCCAAATTGGGACAGCCTGTGGCTTCTCTTGCCACTAATGAGTACACAGTGTAAGAACAGCCACATGGGTAGGGCTGGGGTTTCAATGGGTTTGAGGATTTATTCCTATAAGTCACCCGGAGTCACTGTGAGTGAATTGGACGGGTATATACATTTGTTCAATACATTTTTAAAAAAATGATTTTTATTTAAAAAAAGCAATTCTGTTCCACCAGGTATTCCAACCCAGCAGGTACTGTTTCCAGGTACTCACTCATGAGATTGATCGAGTTGGGTTTCATGAAGAAGTCGGGGAAGTACATCCATTTGATGAGAACGGAGGTGATGGGAAGGGTGGGGCTCCACCTCCAGGGGTAATCTAGGCAGGTAAGAAGCAGAAACATGGATTCTTGGGGAGAGCACTTGGATCCGGAACCCAGCATCCTTCCCTGCTCCATTTGAAGATCTCTCCTCTCCAAAGCTTTTCCTTTTTAGAAGGAAGGTGTGCGGTGTCTTTGACCAGCAGCAAGTGATCATCTTCCCCTCCAGGGAATTGTACAATTCCCACTTAAAGCCTGCTTGATCACCGTCATGGCATCTTGACACAGGAGAGTCATAATTTCACCAATTTCATACCTGCGAGACCGCCTACTGCCACACTCCTCCCAGCGGCCGGTAAGATCCCACAGGGTGGGCCTCCTTCAGATGCCGCCAGCCAGACAATGTCGGCTGGCGGCTCCCCGGAGGAGGGCCTTCTCTGTGGCTGACCCGACCCTTTGGAACGAACTACCCCCAGAAATCCGGGCCTCGCCCACTCTCATGGCCTTCAGAAAAGCTGTGAAAACCTGGC